GTGAAGTGGGTGTCGCCATCCCCACTGTACGGGAAGGGAAGGTTCAGAGAGGGCCAGCGGCCTGGCTGGGGTCACACAGCTGGTGCACAGCAGAGCGGCGATGGGAGCCGCCAGCTGGACCCGGGCCTGGAGTCCCTCGTTTCGGATGGTCGACGTGATGCCAGGCTCACCGGGAGGTACTCGCGCTCAGGGCTGGACTGGCGCACCTCTCGCTCCCTCCCACCCTCCCTGTGTTTGCCCAGCCCGGCCTAGACTCTGGGCCTGAATCAGACAAGGGGCGGCTCCGTCTAGCGGTGTCACACCCCAGGAAGCAGCAGACTACACCTCCGGGTTCTCTCCCCCACGCTCACCCCTGGCTGAAGGCAGCCAGTGAGGGAGAAGCTTGTCCACACCAGTGCTCTCCACAGCTCCGGCCTGAGCCCTGCACACTCATCCCGCCTCCGCATAAAGGGCTCTGATCCTTCTAAGTCCTGATTTGCCAGAGGGTGTGTGTGCTTATCAGAGACAGAGTTCCCCCCGTGGCCATGGTCACACTGAAGTCCCTTTGCCAACATCCCTCTATCCTGTTGGGATTTGGAGCGTGCACGCACATGTGCCCAGGGGCCAGGACTTGAACCATGGCCTGCCATGTGGGATCCAGCACCCTCAGCCACCAGGCCACAGGGCCAGCCATCTCCAATTCCGTAGGGAGCAGGCTCCATTTCTTGATCCTCTTTTCATTCTTGGAGGTCCATGTGGGCCAGCCCAGCACCCTAAACTTTGTACCCACATGCCGACCAAGGCCAAGGGACACAGACCGGACCGGCATGGTCAGGAAAGCCCCCGCGACCTGTGGGCGAGGTGGGCGACAGCAGCCAGTGAGGCCTGACGCGTCAGGGGTGCTGACAGGTGTCGGATGGCCAGGCACCAAGCGACCACCCCACTCATCACCCCATCCTCAGATTCCAGAGGCTGTGACAGGGCTGCCCTCCCCTTCACCCCATCTCCTCGACCTGAAGCCTGAGGGACACTGAGGCAGAGCAGTCTGGCATCTGGGGGGGTTCTGAGAGCAAGTTTGAGGCAGTGTCCATCGCAGCTACACTACTCACCTGCCGGGCGACCTCGGCCAAGCCCGACTGCTCTGAGCCGTTTTCTCAGCTCTATGGGGGCAATGCCACCTCCCTAACGGGACAACACTGGCTTAACCTGGGGCCAAGGAGACGCCCAGCAGGCCGGGAGGTGGGAGGGAGAGGAAGGGAGAGACGCGTCCCCCACCCCTGTCCACACTCTGTCCACCAGGTGGCTGCAGGCTGGTACCTGCTGTGAGCCAGGAGGGCTGGCTGGCTTGGCTAGGGCTAGGCTAGTTCTCAGAAATGAGACTGAGGCTCGGATTCGCAGGCAGAGGCTGCCTTCACACCCAGACCCCAGCCCTTCGCCTGGGCCTCCCGCCCCTGCTGTGGAGCCTGCAGGGCTCTCCTCACGGGCAGTGTGGACTGGATGGGAACCCTACTGCCCACCTGCCCCAGGGGGCTGGTTTACCCCCTCTGCATCGCAGCTTCTGTGCCTCTGCCTCCATCCACGTGGGGCCACGCCCTTGCTGCTGTGTGACCTCCTGCCAGCCACCCAACCTCTCTGGCAGTCTCTCGGTCCCTCTCAGCCTTGGAGGCCTGAGGGAAGCAAGGGGAGCCTGGAGAGCCAGCTCTGGCTCTGGGCTCTAGCTCCTGGTCCCCAAGGAGTGTCATTAGCACCACAGGTTTCCGGCAGGGTGAGCTCAGGAAGCAATTTAAGCTGCGAGAATTGGATGAGAGGAGCTGGAGCGGAAGCCCGAAGTCCGCTCTCTCCTCTCTCGAGTGTGGTGCTTCAGAGCCCAGAGGGCCCAGAGAATGCAAGCGAGTGGCCGAGCTCACACAGCCGGCCTGCTGCAGAGTGCAGGGCTGGCTGCTGCCCAGGCCAGGCAGAGATATGACCCCTACCACCACCCCTCTTCTCTGCAGGGCTGGTGCTGCGGGGAAGCTCTGCTCCCAGGAGGACGACGGGCCAGGCCTGGCCGACCACGGGTCTGATTCTACCAGTGAGGCTGGCCCTGGCAGACTCGTGCCAGGCTCTTCCACCCCCAGACCTTTATACCGAGGGCCTCCTGCTCTCTGCCTGCCCCAAGGCCACCTCCCGTGGATGCAGGTCAACAGCCTCCCGCTGTGCTCTGCCCTGTCTCAGAAAAGCCAGGAGGCTCAGGCCTTCGAAACACCACCCAGGGTTCGGGCTGTTTAAACAACAGAGAGGACACCGCCACTCAGGCTCGGAAAGCGGAGGCCCTCCTGCTTCCTGGCCCGACAAGGCCTTTAGCAACTACCGCGTCTGCTGGGAGATGAGCTCTCATGCTGCCCTAGGCCCGGCCAGGCCGTCCCTGCCACCTCTGGCGAGTCCTGGTCATACTGTGGCCTCTGTTTTCCGAGCCTAAGCAGCGAGCATGTCCCTTCCATTGTGTTTGAGCCAGGGACAAACCTGTGAGGTGTGCGGACTGCTGGAGCACCCCAGCTGCCCTGCCAGCCTGCTTTCTGCCCCACCCTGCCACTGTCGCCGACCGCCATGCTCCAGCCCAGGCCTCCAGGCCTTGCCCAGCGCTCTGTG